GATGGCAAAAATACCCAACAAACCCGATACTCGCGGGGCCCCTCCCCGAACGAGGAGGGGACGAGGACGGGTAAAGGGGGCCCCGCCCAGTTAAATTTTTATTTTTTTTAGAATTCAATACTTTAAATGAAAATTTTCATTAGTTCTAATAGAAAATAGCAACTAAAATTATTTGTTTAAATCTAATGAATATGAGAAATAAAAATAAATTATCAAAAAAAAAAAAAATTAAACGGGTAGTAAACGAGGCAAGAATCCCTCCCCGCCTTGCCTTAAACGGGTAACGGGGCGGGGACAATTTTTTAATAAGTTTAAAATTATTTCCCTTTGAGAATTAATTTTAAATTTATTAAAAAATTGTTGGTCAGAAAATCCTTTGGATTCTCAAAAGAATAAAGGAAAAATGACAGCAAATATTGAACTCCCCTCCCGCCATCCCTAAACCTACACATCAAATTCATTTCTATTTCATTTACATCCTTTTTCTTTCAAAGCAAAATACTTCTAGCAGGTACCTCATCTTTGCAAAGATGATGAAGCATTCAAGAACTCGATGCAGTCCTCTATACCAAGTGTCTCCATTTGAAAAGTTGATAAAAATAATGTGATTAAAATCAATTATTAACTTTGACTTAAATTTTTATCGATTTTCTAACTATACCAAACATGGACATAATATCTAAAATACCGAAATTCGTTCATAACTTTATACGTTTAATAGGGACTGATTATGAAATTACTTTGAAGAAAGTAAATACTAATAAAAATGGGAGAAAAATCATTGAGAGAAAGAGGCAAGTCACAAATCTAGGGAGACAAAATTTCTCAGTCACAAAAAAATACGTTTTGAGTTTCCTATTAAATAATGATATTATTGATATGGACAAAACTTCCTTAACATTTGTAATTTTCTATTTTTGTTTATGTATACTGTACTCATTTATTAAGAATATTTCTATTGATGCGTGGTTTTCTGTTCTGTTCTGTTCTGTTCCTTGGTCCGAGGTTTTTTCTCTTCCCCACAATTTCCCTAATCTCTGTCCAGTAATTTTCAACCTCTCCTGCACCTCCAATGGCTGCTTCAGGTTTTTTTCCCTTATTTTTCACATTGTAAATAATTGCATTGAGCCAGGATGGCCTTCTTCTGGAGCTTTTCTTCTGTTCCATTGCTTGGCCTCCTGTCTCTCTTCCTCACCACCCTTCCGCCGCCCTCGGCCGCAGCCCTCACCACCACCAGCCTCCGCTTTCTAAAGCCATCCACCACCGCAATCGATGTTCCCGTCTTCCGCGAGGCGACGGCTTTTCGAAATGGTGAGACATGTGGATCCCCCTCCATAGACCACATTCATGTTGCAATGACACTTGATGCAAGTTATTTAAGAGGCACAATGGCTGCTGTTTTGTCAATCTTGCAACATTCTACTTGCCCTGAAAATGTCGTGTTCCACTTTCTTTATGTGAGAAATGAACCAGAAGTTTTTTCAAGCATCAAATCCACTTTCCCTTATCTCAATTTCAACGTGTATCGATTTGATTCGAGAAGGGTGCTCGGTTTAATATCGAAGTCGATTCGCCAAGCTTTAGATCAACCTTTGAACTATGCAAGAATTTATCTAGCAGACATATTGCCGGTCCGTATTAAGCGCTTGATTTATCTTGATTCGGATCTTGTTATGGTGGATGATATTGTGAAACTATGGGGTGTTGATTTGAATGACAAAGTATTGGCTGCGCCGGAGTATTGTCATGCAAATTTCACTAATTATTTCACCGATGCCTTTTGGTCCGACCCCGTCTTGTCAAGAACGTTTGAAGGGCGAAAACCATGCTATTTCAATACCGGAGTAATGATCGTGGATATGAATAAGTGGAGACGGGGGAAATATACGCGAAAAGTTGAGTATTGGATGGTTGTGCAGAAGAACAAAAGGATATATCAGTTAGGTTCATTGCCACCATTTTTGCTTGTTCTTGCTGGTAATATAGAGCCAGTTCATCATAGATGGAATCAGCATGGATTGGGAGGAGACAACATTGAAGGGAAATGTAGAAGTTTGCATCCCGGTCCAATAAGCCTACTCCATTGGAGTGGCAAGGGGAAGCCATGGTTGAGGCTTGACTCGAGAAAACCTTGCAATGTTGATCATTTGTGGGCTCCTTATGATCTTTATAGTCAGTCTAAACATTCCTTTGAAGAATGACGATAACCAATGGCATGTTTGGTTTTGCTTAAAAGTCAAAAGAAGCCGCTTCTTTTGGCTATTATTCACAGTACAAAAAGAAGATGTTTCTTTCTATCTTTTAAGCAATGTCAAACATGCATACTAGCGAACCTGGAAATTGAGAGACGTGGAAGATATAGCGTGACATTTTAGGGGGACAGAAAAGTTATATACATTTTCTTTTAGAAAATAAGTTAAAAGAAAAGAAAGAAACAAAGCGAAAAATATTACGAATTTTCGATATTTATTTTTTATTTTTTACTGCAAAACAGAGATAGAAAAAGTTTTTGTTTTGAGGATAAAAATGGAGGGTAAGCATAAACGTGAATTTCTTCCCAGAGGCAAAAGAGGGAAGAAGAATATTTCAAGTTTTGATTTTGACAATCAGATAATTCATGACCCTCTGATCATGTTGTCAATATATTTTTAGTTTTTTCATTTATTGTCTTCAAAAATCTCGAATCTGTTGTATGTTATTACTGATTATAACCGCAATCATATTGAATTTAATTTTATTTTTTTTGCTGATGCCTTTTTCTGATCTATATCATTTATTCTACTAATATATTAGTTTAGTCACGTAGAATCCATTGCCTCAAAAAATCTAAGGTTTCCCCACAAGGTTATCTTTGAAGGTCGAGTACATTTTTTCGTGGTAACATAGCGAGAAATACAGTGTTATCATACAAAATTTAATTACAAGTTCAATAAAGGTCGAGTCCGTCGATACCTGTGGTAGTCCGGTGCTTATTCACCTGCCAAATTATTATTATTATTATTTTTCAAAAAATAGCACAATCTGAATGACTTGTTCTAACTCAACTTGTTTTACGCTTCCATTCCAAATCACATCCTACACTATCTTATCCATAAATTCTCGTATGTATATTGGTATATATATGAAGAAAGTTGTGAATCAATTCCTTTTTGTGGTTGCAATCCAACGGCCAGATGTCAAGTTTAAGAGATGAAATAATCATAAGTAGCTGGACATTTTGTAATTGCATTTTT